TGGCTGGGTGTTGTAAACAGTGGCGTTCGTGCATCTCCTCAATTTCTTCCCAACCTCAGTCCACTGAACTCCATTTTCCTTTCGAATCCACTTTCAACTTTTCTTTCTTCTCCAAATCTTCATCCCAATGGGCAGCCAAAACCGGTGCACGAAAGTGCATGGTTAATGGTTGATGAAACTGAACTGAACTGATCAGGTTTTGTTGTACAAACTGTCATATTTACTTTAATGACCGACCGACCCAGTCAAATAAACAAAACACTGACTGCATCGCCTCTCTCAGGGTGGTGTTTGAAGTTCTCACTCACAAATGCTGAGCGGCGTACAGACCAAACCATATCTTCACAATTGCAAAGCAACTGGTGCAGCTAAAAGCATGAATACACTAGTTACACAAATGCAGAGTAATTTTTCCATCACGTGTTATTGAAGGAACTAACTCTGAACCGAAAAACGAAGTATATGCATCAGAAATATTTACAAAACTTGCAAATATTGACTTTTCCATTCATTTTGTAATGGATCCAAAGTGACATGGCATATTTGTATTTCATTTTCGAATACTGACTTTGGAAAGATACCATCAATCACATTCGAATACTCTCAACTTGGTTTCTTAACGATACTCCATGTTTGATGTACACTGTTCGTCAGAAATTGAGAACATCTCTTCGCCAGAGCTATCTGACCTTCTCTACCTATGCCCGTAATTGTCAAACTATAAGTGGATGCAATCAGGTGGTCAGATTTTCGTGAACGATACTCAGATGACCTTCATTCACATTCGGTATATGTGACAGTCTCTCCGATATTGGCTGGCTTTCTGTAAAACACGGGCGAATACAGTGAGGGATATTTTGATGTTTACGAGGGAGTTACTTTGTAACCTCACCATCATCAAAATAAGAATATGACTTCTGTTTCTAGAGTACATTAGGGCGAGTGTTGAAGGACTGTGGCGTAAATCCGCGGTGACCAGTAAAGATTTTTTGGATGAACTACTATCATCAAAAGGTATTACATGAATCGGTGGTGCATTATCATTGATGTGGATTATAACGGTTTGAGGTTTGGATTAAGGCTTCTGTTACGAAAGACAGATGAAATAATTCGACTCGGAAAAATCAATTGGAATGGGTACGTTTTATTGAGTTATTAGATCTGATGGAGGATGGACGGTGTGAACTGACTTTGATTGACGGGACCATGAGTGACTCGAAGTTCCCAAAATCGTTAACCAAGCTATCAATCGACGGCACAGCAAGAACAGAAACTAATTCTTGTCTTGCGGGACCACATTGCCGAAATCTTGCAATTACCGTGCTAATGATGGAGTGCATTAATAATAATGTTTCACTTTTTTTATTTATGAATCATAAATAAATAGGCAATTTTCAGGATGGGGTTACCGCTAATCTAGAGCTTTCTGGAGAAACGTTCATGCCGAATGAAAGCTCACACTTAAACAACACGTACTAGAAACGAAACGGGAGAAATGTATCAATGTGGGATGTCCAACTTAAATTAGTGGTCTGCGCTATTCGTGTGCTGCTTCATTGTACGGTGAACTGTGCTATCCCTTGGAATGTACCAAAAGTAATTGTATCCTCATGCATACGGTGGTCTGATGTTTTCCCAGGTCATTTTGTCATTCTGAGTTACGTGAAATATGTTTTTTTATTATTTATGTTATGGTACTCATCGTTATCAAGAATTCACGTGCTGTGATATGTTTTGGGAATTGAGGTGCGGATGGTATGTACAGAAATCTAAGGTTAATTCTGTCGGATTGTCATACATCAGAGCTGGTTAGAATGAAATTTGTCACTCTATCTAAGGGAAATAGTAGATTTACAGCACCCTTTGAAGAGTTTTCCATTTTGGTTATAAGTATTGAACTATGCCCAGATTTGCGAGATACAATGTCTCAGGTTAAGAAAAAAATTCTTATTTGAATAGCTTCAACCATCCGCATAGTGATCAAGTAACGAATTAATGTTCATTGGTATGGAAGAAAAGAGAACGGGTGATAACATAGCTGCTCGAAAAACACCAAACTTGAGGTTTGAGGGTGAAGTAAACTTTTTCAGAGTAAAGCGTAAATCCTCCACTGTTCTCATGTTAAAGTTAGATGTGACGGATGCAAACACTTTCTTACATTTCCTGCTTGGAGGTTTTGACGACGGTGGTGCAAGAAGACGGTAATTCCTTACACGTGGCCTCCATGTGTGAGCAATTATCATGCATTTCTGGGTGGGGCAGAGTAGGAAGGTCGGGAAATCCCGTGCACTTGATTCATTTTCTACCAAACCTTTTCTCATCAAACTCTAACCAATACTTACAATGCTATAATCGCGCCCCCTCGACCCACAATTAGTTAACATCAACCCATAGTCCTTTAGCTTCTACACAAACTTGAGCCACACCGCTGTAAGCGAGTCAGATCAAACAGTACCGAAATATTCTATGATAAACGAATGTTGGAAAATTCACATCTCACGAAGGTTGGCGAACAAACGAAGTGTGACGGTTTTTAACCGTCGTAATGATTTGAACAATATGCATGTATATTCAAACTATTTAGAACGTTCAGAATAATTGTAACATTTTCAGGAAATCACTTTTTAATGCTCTGAAAAATCAAACAAATCAAGGTATTAAAAGGAGATTTGAAGGAATAATAATGCACTGACTACCTCTTCCAGAAGGTTAAAAGGGACCTGTGTGGTGTGAGAAAGCGAATCGTTTGGTTGGTATGTAACTGTGCATCCAGTTCCGTCTGATGGACTGGCGCATTTTGAAACTGAAGACTACTAGGACACCCGACTCTTCAATAACAGTCAATACAGAACAGTTTGATAGGAACTAATTTAAAATATACCAACTAATCTTGGAGTGACGTTCATGTTCCAAGATACTGGTGACAGACAAACGGATGTATGTTAACGTTATCCATATTGGTAGATGCGCACAACGGCAGGTTAGGTACGATGAGTGTCACCAGCACATGTTGCTGTGTTCACAGTGCCCTACTGTCAGTGAATCGAATAGCGCTTGATGACAACACAAGGGAAACATCCCAGACGTGCTACTCCTGTAAGTAAACATCCTCCATATGGCATTAACAGTGTATTGTACCGCATTTAAAAACCTTGACAGAAATCAAGAACCAACACAATAAAAAATAAATGGGATTCCGTCAATAGAGATGGATACTTTGATAACTAAAGTTTGTATCGAGGCTACAGAATTGCTGTTTGAGGCTAAAATATTATGGTTCGATGCTCATAGATTGTCAGTTTTGGCTAATGCTTGATGGGAAGGAGTGTAGTCGTAAGTCTGTTACCATAAACGGATTTCAGATTTATCATGAATCAATTGTCGCACGTTCACATATGCGTCCATATGGACTTAGAAAACCTTGAAGGTAACACTGCCTGCTGTCACTGTATCGTACTCACATGTTGATTCTTTTTATATGCACTTCCATCCGATTGTGCTTCTTACATTATTTTTGTCTTTTCTGTATCCTCGTGTTCCATGTTATCCTCATTCTACAGAATGTCAATCACTCCGCTGGTGAAAAATGTGCTCACAGATTCCATTTCAGTGTTCGAGACCTCGAGAGCTCAGTTGAGTACATTTTCGAAGGTCGGCTCTTCACCAGAGCGAAATGCGCAACAGCAACAACCTGACTCAAAATCGCATCACAAGGCCAAGTCGGGTGAGTCGTTCGAATCGGGCGCTCCATGTTCCATGAGTAATCCAGGTGCCCAATAGGTAGCATTCAAAAACAACAACAACAACACTTTTTATTTCTCTGCAAAAGTGACTAATGTACTATCTCTTATTTGAATTCCTCACCGCCTAGAGGGGCGGTGAGATTAGAGAAACGTTTCCTGTATATGCGCTCCCAATGACCTAATTAAGCATAATTCAAGAGAATATAAACCATGTGTTCATGCCTCTCGTTCCGTCCTGGAAGGCTGGCTGCACCAACCGAATCCGAGTCACCCACAGATTCACTTTTCTGGGAAAACTGATATGCTATGTATAAGAGATTTGTATTGGTAATAAATTTATAATCCAGGGTTTCTTGATACAGAATTTTCTCTGCATGATGCAGTTATCTCAGTTGTCGGCAGATGGACATCTTATAAACCCTTTCCGGGTGTGAAGTGCCATTAACAGTGCAATAAGTTTCCCGTGAAAAAATGAGGTCTGATAATCTAGAATATACTAACATTTTTGGACTTTAAAGTGATTTCGAGGCAACAATTGTCTCGGGTTCTCAACGGTCCAACGAATTGAGTTTGGTATGAATGAGGAAAATATGGCAGCCCAAACATGACCGAGTCACCGATGGCGTCGAATGATTCCTTCTATTAGATAACTATTATCAGCACCCAACAAATGACGACGATGAACCTCGTTATTGTTCACCTCATGTTAAGTGCGTTGCTATGATTCTGAAGAAACATCAACTTTAAACCAACAATAAAGGCCGTTGTGGTAATCAGAGCGCAGATCGTAGGCAAAAGAATATTTTCAGCAATTTATTTCTCCAGCTTCTAGTTGACAACACATTATATAACTTAATCAATAGTACAGTTAGATTCAGAAAATCGAGGCCAATTGTGAAAGTTCACCTACAACCTATGTTGCGGAATATCAACTAGTGTTAAAAAAACTGAACAAAATGGCTCATTGACAGGAGAGTATATTGTTACAACCGAGGACCAAAACTAGCTGAAGTTAGATTTTGCAATCTGATGTGGCAGTTCTATGATTGCTTTGCAATAAATAAGAACTTTTTCCTTGTTCTCCATTATAGGTCGGACGGGGCAACTGCAACGAGGGTCTGGACGCTAGTCCAGGTAGCACGAACGAGAAACAACCACCTCGAGTCTTTAGAGTGCACGGTAAACTTCGATCGTGCACAGCAGAAGTGCCATCATTGTATAGCTGGACAACAGGTAGCAAGAACAGTATCATACACATTACGAATCCGCAATTAGGCAGTTTCGTGTCGAATTGAGGGGTTACAAGACGTGAGAATTTATTTAAGCGGATCACAAGCGGGGTCAGAGGGAAATTTAGCTCCTTGAGGTCACGAGTGAGAGTGACCAGACGATGTGAAACGATGACGCAAATGCACTGTAAGTGACATTAGGCCAACAAAAATACTATAGGGTAAACTGAATAACAGTTAATGATGTGTAGGGCAAACGTGATCGCGAAGGCCTTATCACTGTGTTCCAAAACTTGCAGTTGGTCATGATCTTGCGTCGGATCATGTTTGTGGGTACCTGCTATCTGCGATGTTCATGGTGAGCTCAGCAAGCAAAACCGGCACATCAAAGTGCGTGATTTTTGGTTGTAAAAACTGTGCTGGTTAGCTCATTCCACCGAGAGGCACAAGTGAACAACCTAGGCGAATTATTTTCTGTTTAAATGGTTCTAAAAGGGACCCTCAGCAAGTTGTGACTGTGAGCTCCGAGACAGCTTCACACAGCACCATTTGTGACGCGCGTCTTATTTTCTATTCTTCATATCGAATCTGCATGGTTACTCATTAGTAGTCAAATTACGAAAGCGCAACTGTGTCATTTTTACCATCAATACGTTGGTAGTCTGTGGGAAAAGGAGTCGTCTAAATTCTGATGCCTGAAATCCAGTATTCGGTTCAACCGTTCCTCACATGATAGTCTGCAGATCAAACCGAGGCGGGTAAAGCGAATTTCGGTCACGTAAGCATCATTGGATGTGTGAGCTTAGTCCAGTCGTGACAATCCGCTCGCCCGCTCACCTAGCTGAATCAGATAACCGTGTGGATATCCTTGTTCGAAATTTTTCAGGCCCGCCATGTTCTTAGTATATTTATACTTTTGTATAATTTAGCAGAAGTCTGTAAATGTATAAAATGTTTTTAATTAAAGTATCGAATCTCGTTACACATCAATCACCTGAAATTTCTTTAATACGACCTAATTGAGTGCCCTTCAAATGGGACCTGTTAAGGTCGCATCTATATAAAAACGCCACCTCAGTAAAATCACTAAATTTCAAGACGTATTTATTTTCTTTATAACCATTTAGTTCACTTCATAGAGCCGTTGTCTTCAACCTTTCGCACAGCGGTTTTGGTTTTGTATGAGAACAGAAGGGTTTTAGTTGCGACCCCTAACCCTTTTCCTGCTTGGAGGTTGGATTATCTTGCAGTATCCATTGTTCAAACCCTAATGAATACACATACTGTAAACAAATCCATATTGCATCAGTCGTCGCGCAGGATAATCAGGACCGCCCATTGTATTGAGCGAGGTGGGCACTGATAAGTGGGCTGCTGCTCAGACACCATGACCTTTGTGTACTTCTTTGTTATCTCTATCCTCTCCGACTCTCTCCGTTCTTACGAACATTGATATTACATCTAACAAATTTTTATCACTCGCCCATGATTGTGATCAAATAGGACTATAAGTAGTCTACCAACAAATAAATTGCAGATTCTTAAGTCTGGTTAACCTTGGAATCTCGGAGTCGTTCAGTGTGAGAAGTCTCACGCAAGTGGTTTCATAGACTCGCCTGGCGTACACAGTAGACTCTAGGAATCGATTTCTTCTGCCTATCGGAGATGCAAATCGAGGATCGTAGTAGTATAAGCCACTTGAATGCGCCATGCTTGTCCTAAAGATATTTCTTCCGTACATCAGACAGTGGCGCAGCCCGTTCAGTAGGTACTTAATATAGCTGAAGCTTCACATGTCAATTGGACCCACAGACGTCATGGAGACGAAGCATGAAGTACACAGAGGAATTATGTAGAGTAAGTATCTCTCACCTTCAAGTTGGGTCCCGAACGACTCCATAACTAGTTGGTTGGAGATACTGAAGGACATGATAATGAAACGACAACAGTGATGTTCTTTGTAAAACATCTTTTTCCCTTTATTCATTTCATCAACACAGGAAGACATATGTGAGCAGAAATGGTATTTACCATCAATTTTGCGTGCTCTCCGTCAGCTGTAAACGCACATTTATATGACCATGTAAAACGAAGAAACATAAAAACTGAAATTATTCATTTGAACAAGGTAATGAGCAAGTGAGTTGCATGATTTCAGTTTGGTTAGGGGTTCCAGTCAAGTTAGATGAAAAAATTTGATATGGAAGGGAGCTGGTCCGAACGATGTGTGAGTGTGCGTTTACAGTTGAATGAGAGCACGCGAAATTGATGGTCAATATCAATTCTGCTCAAATATGTTTTCTTATGTTGATGAAGTCATTGATGTTCTTCTTGTCATTTTTTATCTGAACAAAGTCTTTGAACAGCTGTGCACGTAAAGCTAGACTGTGTAATGTGTGCTGAACGCAGAGGTTCGTTGTGCCTTCTCCGCAAACACATGCACTTCTCATCCACCTTACACACTCCCACTTTGCGTGTATTTCGATCGGTGGATCGGTAAAGTTGATGATGATGATGCTGATGATGTTCACTTTATATAAGTATATATAGTATTATGTTCTTTGGTAAATCCGAATAGCGTTTGGTTTACATACGATCATTCATCCTTCGTTGTTATGTATGGTTAGTCACTGCTGACCCAACTATGCATTTCCTATCCTCTTCGCTACAGACCAGCGAACCGCCCATACTCACTCAACTGATAGTCCAAATGAGTTGTCTGACCACGACGTGTTTTCCACGTCATCAAACCAGACATTGTGGTGTAATACCGAACCACAAAAGGGGCAATCAACGGCTGTCCGCCTGTTAGACGTTTCTTACTCCTCTTTGCTTCGGACTGATTCCTCATCCGATCCATCTCTGATGGTTTCAGATCATCCGCTTCCTTCGTATCCACCTGTCACCACATCTATTGGCTTTACCAGTCCTAATCAGATTGTCTCCAAACCGGAGGATATTTCGAACCAGATAAACACCGGGGCTGGCCACTCAGAGTCGATATCTGTTCCATTGAACAACGACTATATGACAGACCTAGGTAAGTTCCATAACACTGTCCATATTGTGACAAGGATTGTACTGACAACGTTTATAATTACTTGTGGACTCATTAAATTTGCATCAATTTATTGTGCATTGTTGCTCAATCCAATATTTACTCGATGAACAGGAACCGCCTGTGGATCTCTGAAATGACGGCTTACTTGGGATGTTTTTTGTGTGAGATATTCCTCCCGTCCCCACACACTCAATAAAGTGCCTTCAAACGGATTAAACTCCTGTAAACTTCACTTCATTTATTTTTGCATTTGACTTGATCCTTGTTTGAAAGGTCACCCCTATCCCAACTGAGACCTTTGAAACTTACCCTAATAAGCTGGTTTATAGTCCAAATACAGTAAGTTATTGGTAGAGTGGAAAACTCATCAAGCAGTGAAAAGTTTTAGCTACAGTTTGTGCAAACAATAACCATGCAATTTCGTGCAGCAGTGATCACTGGCTTTTAGCTCCCCATTTGGATGAAGTAGGAGAAAGATAGCGAAGTTGAAAATAGAATGGAAGAGAAAATGGAGGATTTCAGTAGAATAAGGTTTCAGATAAATTATTAAGATGCGCGAGCGCATCTCTTTACGAAACTCAGCTATATCATTCAATATCTCTAACCACTGGTCACAAGTATTTCAAAGTCCCTATCTAGTGAGCCTAACACGACATATATGATCAGTGAATAGAATAATTATGATTACTAATGTGACCGATGGTCGTATTGATAAATATAATCCACTTCAAAATACTCCTGTGTGTTGGAAACAATGGCATACTGAAATTCCATGGTGCTTTAATTCAAAGTAGATCACACATTTGTAACTATTTCCATACTTTCTTTATCTTCGTTTCCTTGAGAAAATTTATCGTGTGACCTGAACAATTCTTTTCTCGAATATTCAAACTGTGTTGCCATTCGTTCCTTCGTGTTTTGGTTTTTATCCGTTTTGGTTATCTTAAAATAATGTATTCGAGTGTGCATAAGTCGTGCGTTTTACGCCTGACTTGTGATTATTATTCTGTTTGTTATTTCTAATTCATTTTTTCGACCCTCATTTTGGAAATTATAAAATAGTTTCCCAACTAACCGTTAGAGTTTTTGTCTATCTCAGTTTTTTTCTAACGGCTTTCGACCGTATATTTCAATCTAGCTCAATTCATTGGACCGAGCCAATTGAACCCGATCACACTACTCCCAGTCTCCCAACCCCCCACGTCTGTTTCATCTGTCATTGAAACTCCATCGAACATTACTAGTTCAAATGTGATCATCCCAACCCGTCACGATGATATCCAAATAGACTATCGCAAATCGACTACCGGATACCCTCGCACTGTACCGTTGGAACTGCGCGAACTGTTGGACACAGTGCTCACGATGGCCCAGAACGTTCCGTCCAACGCATCCTCGTTGAACAGCAAATCACCATGTTCCTGTTCCAACAATAATACACGAACTTCGCGACCCCCTGTGGGTTTGATCACGCAATTATTATGGCGTGCTAGAGCTCTGGACGATCGGGGACCGTGGATTTTGACTTTTACGATGTGGTGGCTGATGCAACATTACTTCGGCATTGGTAGTCGATCGCATCACGTTCGTTTACGTTGGTCCCATCTCCGATTGGTCACCGGAGTGATAGATCCCATGACTAATAGACCGTGTGAAGCTTTGGAATATGTAGGGCCGATCGAATTTACCACATTGAAGGCACTGGCATTACTCGAATCTAACGGATCTAGTGAACGTTCACCTGTCCGCCGAGTTTATCCTTCTTCAGGCTGGGCAGAGGCGGAAATTTACGTGGCGTCTGCGCTGGCCGCAGAAGCACCGGATAAACGACCGCGTATTCGCCCACTGGATACCGGACCTGATGTGCCAGGGATCATGGACCGTGAGGGACCGGATTTTGTTGCTTTGTATAAGGCGTTCAGTGCACATCGTTCGGTGGTTTCACGTCAACCCGACTCTCCGTTTTACGTTCAACCGCTTCATGTGAGTGCATGACTGTGCATATGCAAATATTCATCCAAGTTGTGACTTGCTTGTTTACATCTGCAGGTTTTTTCCTCACTGTGGATCTGTACTTAGTATCTGCTTATTTGGCAGTGATTCACGCTGGGTGTCCCAACTTTTATACACATATGCTACTATACACAAATAGAGTAATATGTGAAAAAAGAATCCCTTATTTTTCTTTCCTGTCTCCGTATGTCAATCATCGATTGTTCATCACATGCTCTTTTACGAAATTTGCACTCAACTTGCATATTAATACGTAACCAATTTCTATTCAAGCGTGTGCTGAAGACTAGCTTGAGTGAGCACAAAACAAGATAATATCCCAGTCAATTATAACTACTACCCGGAAAGCGCCAAATACTAAAACGAACGATAGATTTTTGGTAATTTATCATCATTTCACAATCTTCTCAGTCCAAATTATGCCCTTAAGAAATCACAGCAGAGCAACGTTTCAAACAAAGGAATCAATCCATGATTTGACTGCAGTACACTGGTTTTTCCACCGTGTGCTAAATTGGATTATTCTATTGTGGTTTTTTGCATTCAACTGGATCTATTCAATCAGAAATGTCCCAAAAAGTGAGGCTTCCAAGAACACGTGTGTATCCTGCTCAATGATTGTGGACCCCAGGGCCAAAGCGCTCCGTTGTGAGGGGTGGGATGGGTGGCTGCACCTGAAATACACCCAAATCGACGCAGACAAATACGAATGGCTAGAGCCATGCTTCTCTCCATTCCTGAAGATCGTGTGTTGCAGGTGCTCGATCATTACTTCCAAGGAAGGTGAATCTTCACTTCCAAAATCTCTCTAACCCCCATAATGCCGGCTACTGTGGTGAAGTGGCCCATCCGTAAGCAGATGTCACTTCCACTCCACTTACAAAAGAAGCTCCTGCAGTCGTACCTTAGCAGAAGCAGCCGAAAAAATTGAAGGGCTATCGTCTGCTGCATCGCCCCCATGGACAGACTCAGCTCCCTCGTCCACGACATCCAGGCAAGATGCGTGTAACATGTCACGGACCATTGAGAGGTGCCCCAGCGATTTGCAGGAACTTATGCAGCAGGGAAGCTCCCTCCGAGATCTCAGTGCATTATTTTTGTCAATCATCCGAAGACTGAGGCCACCACCGCCCAGGCTCGCTTGGACCACGAACTGTAGCTGCTGAGATCGCATATGGTTACCTTGTTTGATGGCGACGAGGTGGAACCAGTGACATCGATCAGAGTAAAAGCGGTGTACAGGCTTGGAAAACCTCGCCAGGATAATTCTCCACGGGCAGAAGCGAGGCCAAAGCGATACTCCAGTGGACCCAGAAGCTGAAGGGAACTCCGATGCGGTTCCTCAGGGATCTTGATCCGGACCAGCGCAGTAAACTTAAAACTGCATTGGAAGAACTCAGGGAGTGCCGTGCAAAAGGGGAAACTGATCTGTGTATACGGGATTTCCGTGTGCATCGGTAGCGCCCTTAGCTGCGTTGGCTACCCTTGGTCGGGAGGAGGACCCAGGAGACTAACCACGGACGTGGGGATTAGGTTGAGGCGCGAATGGCGAGGTTACCAGGCTGTGCTAGCCTCAGCCAATATCCGAGGGATGCTGGGAAAAAGTGATGAGTTGGAGGACTGGGTTGTATCCCACAATCCCGGTCTTTTTGCAATCACCGAGACCTGGCTGACACTGGATATCCGGGACTCCGCAACATCACTACACGGGTACACAGTGTTACGAACGGGTCGATCATCATCAGGTCGCGGTGGTGGAGTTGTTCTTTTTGTCCGCTCGGGTCTCTCTGTTCGAGTGCTGGAAATGTTTGGAGAATCCTTGTGGTGCGGAATCAAGCTTTGTGCCTGAGGGTATACCACAGTTGGAGTGATCTAACGCACACCGGCTGTGTATGTCTCGGAGCTGTTGGCCATCATACATAGGCATACCTGTGATGGACATTGTCTTGTCTTGGGTGATTTCAATTCGCCACATATTGATTGGGAAACTGACACCTGCTCTCAGCACGCAGATTTGTTTTCCAGAGAACTTGTTTTCGCTGTTCAGGCCCTCTCACTTGTTCAGCATGTTCAAGTGCCCACGCGGATAGTTGGGGATCAAAGATCCATCCTTGATCTGGTGTTTTTGCCGAGGCAATCAGATAAGACCAGGATTGACCTCCTTCCATCAATTGCATCTAGTGATCACTCCGTTCTGCGTATACACTGGAGGCGTGGCGTACTCCAAACGGACAGACCACAGGACGGACGGAATGTGTGGCGCTCATCCTTTTCGGATATGCGTCAGGCTGCATCGCTCACAAATTGGGATTCCCGGAACCCTGAGGATGTGAATGTATCCTGGGAGTTGGTTCGTCATAGAATCCAGCAACTCGTATAAGAATTCTCTCCACTTCACTGCCACCGAACATACGCTATGGGCGCGCCGTGGTTTGATCGAGAACTGCGGACGTGCCTCCGGTAGCGGAATAAAGCCTGGTCCAGGTACCTTGCAACAGGTGCAAGATATGAAGAATATCGATGTATTCGGAATCATTGCACTGCACTGAAAAAATGCAACAGAACCAGATTCGAGGAACGACTCGCAGCGGATTCGTTACAGGCACCAAAGTGATTGTATGCCTACCTCAGGCAAAGAATCAGAGCAACGCCTTCCTACTCTCGGCAAAGATGGGGCACTAGCCGAAAAAGAGGAGGACAAAGCGGAGATCCTGGCATCACATTATGCCTCTGTGTACATCGCAGACTCCAGCACATTGGCACATCCACTGGACACTGCCCTGAACTGGACTCCATTTACCATCGGAGAGGTGGCCCTGAAGCTGCGTCGGCTAAATGTTCACCAGTCACCTGGAGCTGATTTTGTGCATCCGCTTATCCTGAGGGAGCTGGCAGATTAATTTGCAGTGCCACTGTGCAACCTGTTCAATTTGTCATTCACTCAAGGGCGTTCACCGCGGCAGCGGAAGGACGCTGTCATTGTTCCACTGCTCAAAGTTGGGGATAGAAGTGACCCTGGAAACAACCAACCAGTCAGCCTTACTAGTGTTGTGGATAAAATAATGGAGCGACTGGTAACTGCATGACTTCGGCAGCATTTGGTGTGCCACGGTCACTTGTGCCACCAACAACACGGTTTCCGGCCGGGTCGCTCATGCCTCTCAAACCTGCTACTTGCCCGTGAATGCTGGACCGAGGACAGTGCCAAAGGACACTGAACGGACATCATCTTCGTGGACTTCAGCNCTTTGACAAGATGCCGCACGACCGCCTTCTGCGAAAGCTGTCCAACCTAGGGGTAGGTGTGGTCATACTGAATTGGCTGTGAGACTTCCTCATTGACCGAAAATTCTGCGTCCTTGCTGGCAAATCGCTGTCTCCATGGTATTCCGCTCCCAGTGGGGTCCCCCAAGACTCGGTAATTAGTCCATAGCTCTTTCTGGTTTATGTAAACAACCTGCCCGATCAACTATGCAACCCATCCCTCATGTATGCGGATGACATCAAAATTTGGCGCACAATCAAGGATCTGAATGATCGAAGTTCTCTTCAAGCGGATTTGAACAACCTGGCTCAGTGGGTGGACACCTGGGCTCTTCCAGTCAACACAGCAAAGTGTGCTCATCTG